TCAAAGCCCACCCTATAATTTCTACCTCTGATATGAGGCCTTCTCTCATTACTCCAGCCAACAATAATCTCTCTCTTCTCTGAACTCCTGAATAATACAAGAGATTGTGTCATCAAATTATAAATTGCCTTGTTCAGACTGTGTTGCCTGTGGTTACGTTTTGTGTCCCCAACTAGCCCGGGAGCTCCTTCAGGCTGAGGCTGTATCTCTGTTAATCTTTTCCATAGAAGATCAGGAAGTTGAGTATAGGGTATTGGGGTTTGTTGGTGAGAAGTGTTTGAAAAACTTTGCTGCTTTACTGCAAATGTCAGCTCATGAAAAGCAGTCAATTCCCACTAGCCTAGCCCAGACAAGCTACTATATATGGTTTAATCAGATGCCACCAGTTATGGCTGCTACCTATTGCTGCCTGGGGAACTTAGCCTGCCTTCTACAGTCCTTCTCCTGCTGCTATAATAGGTTTATACTAATAAATAAATAGCCAAGAAACTCATTCACCACAGCCTGCCTATTTGGGCAGGCAGACTAAACCTGTGATGTTCAATACTGTTTGTGGTTATGAGAGAAAGGCCCCAGTGTCCCCCAGATGATTACAGAACATCTCTTAATAGCAGTAAACATTGTTATGGAAGACTCTGTTCCCAACCTCTAAAAAAAGATGACCCAACAAATAGACCTCGGTCTACAAACAGGGACTATGTCAATGTCTGGGGAGCTCAGTGTGGACAGCCTGATTCCATCTTCTCCAGATCGGTTATCTTCTTCCTTCACTGCTCTCCCCACATGGCCTGCTTTTAGGATGGCACTTTCTTTTGCTAGTCCTTCCCAGGTCTGGGGGACCTTGGCAGGCCTGACTGGCAGATGGACAGACAGGAAGTTTATGATCTCTAGATGGAACCTTGGTATTTAAAGAGGAAAGAAACATGATGGTGGTAGGGGTGAGGTACCATACCCCTATCTGTCCCACTCCTTGTCTCTGGACGTATTTCTTGATGCTCATATTGAGTATCTGTCCCATGGAGCAAGAGGGGTATTATGGGGAAATGAATACAATGCTGGTTTTAGAGCTGAAAAGATTGTAGGCCCTTCATAAATGTTTCTTGAATGGAAAAGAATTGGACCTCTACCATATACCCAATGTGTGACTCTTCTTTTTTTTTCTTTTTTGTTTAATGCATGACTCCTCTGAAGCGTTTCCATATACTTACATACTTATACTTATAGGCCTCTCACTGGGTCCTTATAATATTCCTGTAAAGCATGCAATGTGATAGATTTATAGGATCATAGATTTGGAGATGTAAGGGATCTCTAGTCCCATCTAATTCTAATCTCTTCATTTTTCAGATGAAGAAACTGAGGCCCAAGGCCACATAGTTACTAGGTGTCAGGTGGGATTTGAACCCAGGTACTTGCACTTTCAAGTCAGTCCCTGTACTGTGCTGTCCTAAGGCCCAGAGAGGGGAATGACTTGTCCGTATTCATCTTGTGAGTTAGTGGCAAAGGCAGGATTTGAAACCCAAATATCTCAAATTCTGGTTAATGCCTTCCCTGTCCCTTTCCCCTCATACTCCAAAGGGATCTAGACTCTGAGAGTAATTCCTCCTCCTCTCCCTCCACCAATCCCAGGTTGGATACTGGCAGCTGGTGGTGCAGACCACTTTGTATCTGGTTCAGACCAAGGACTCGAAGTAAGTGAAACACAAACCTGGCCAAAAGGAATTCTGGGGTGTGTTTGTTCCTACCCAGTGGCTGGATGAAATGGTGAGGTTTGGTGCTGGTTCTAGCCGGCTCAGTGGGGTTTTTGGTTTGGTTAGTATTACAGTAATAACATTTTTCTTTGGGTCTGGGTTGGCACTCAGTATAGGAACAGTTCCAGGCTCTGATTTGCTTTGGTTCAAGCCTTGTTCAGTTTTGTGTGCTCCCTAGCAATCCTCCTCTTCTCTCCTACCCTCTCCTAGCTCTCTGCCACAGCCCCAGGGAAGGAACAGCAATGTGGTTCTGATCAAATAATGGTAACCCAGCAGGAACTTTCCCCCCCCCCCAGACTTCACCCCCTCTTTTGTTCCCCCCTTCCTTCTCTCTCTCTGTCTCACTCCCATAACTACCCACCCCTTTAGCCCCTGAGC